TGGAACTGGACCAGAAGGGGAAGTGGAAAGAGGAGGGGGAAGAGGTGAGCAGGGAGGGGGACCCACAGGAACCGCCTTCTCCACCAGCCAGAGAGGTCCCTCCCGGCTGGGCCTTTCTCTCCCCTCTAACGTCTCCTCTTTCTTGCTGGGCGATTGGGGGGCCGCGGGGGTGGGGCCGCTGCAGCTGTCCTCTGAAGCCACAAACCAGACCTCCAACCTCTCTTGTGCTCCCAGGCGATGGAGGAGCTGCCTTTTTGTCCCGAGGAAGAAGTGGAGGTGAAAGTGTTGGCCTTGTCTCCACGCTGCTGGACCATCTCTCCGCTCTGCTACCTGGAGGAGCCGGACAGGTTTTTCCCACCATCCCTCAGTCAGCGCTTGGTCAAGTTTGCTGACTTCTACACACAGAGTGAGTGTGGGGCTGCCCTTGGACCCGCCAGCTGGGGCGAACGAGAGCGTCCCCGTCAGCCTTGCTGCCGGCCTCGGCGGTCGGTGAGGGTGGGCAGCGAGTCCAAAATGGTGAACGGTCCACTCACCTGGGAATGAGCCTTTCTCTAGAGCAGTTCTGCCGTTTTTCCTGGAGAGCTGCGAGGATCTAGCCAGATTTCCAGAGAAACAGAAGGGCCAGCATTTTTGTCCTTTCAAAGGGCAAGTCATTGTAAGGCAGAAGGAACATTTTAGGGCCTCGAGTCTAGGCAATGAAGATGTAAACCTCCCATTTTATTAGTATCTATCATGGAGGAGAACAGGAAGCCAGCCTAGCTTTTTTGATCTTTTGGGAGAGAAGAGGAGGAGGAGGTGACCAACTCTGGAGAAACCTCAGTTGAAGTCAGAGTTAAAAGAATCGGGGAAAGGTTGTCATTGCATGCCTTTGCTTTCTTCTAGTCAGAAGGGAAGGGGAAGAGAGATGGACGGCTTCTACTCATTTCTTGGCCAATGACCTTGAAGTTGGCTCCAGTGAAATAACTGTTGTCATCTTTGGAGGAGGGCCCTTTAAAATACAGGATTTGAACACCACTGAGGATTGAAGGCTCCAAGATCTCTCTTGTTGGCAGCCTAGCCTGGCCAGCGTATCCCCTCTGTGACCACTCTCTCTCTCTCTCGCAGGCCAGAGCCGCTTCGGGCTGGAGCACACCAAGCCTCGGCGTTTACAGTGGACATGGTTGGGCCATGCAGAGCTCGAGTACCAGGGCCGCATCCTGCACGTCTCTACCCTGCAGATGTACATCCTTCTGTGCTTCAACCATGCTGAGGTCCTGACTGCCTTGATTCTCACTTGGTTCTTCTAGGCTGGTTTTTTTCTTGTGCCTCTTGGGATAGAATAAGCTCCCTTCTGACTGGCTCTCCCTGAATTTTGCACCCTACAGCTGAATGAATGTCTCATGCAAGGGAAACTGATCTAACCTTTCCCAAAGTCTGGTTGTTCAGTGAGCCACAGCCTGTGTTTAACAAACTCTTAGTTCTGTTGATTTTTGTTTTGTTCTTTGATCTGATCCGTTTGCACGGAGGAACGTGGCTTCTTCTTCGAAAATGCCACAATTTGTTCTCTGATGAGGGCAGTTCCTCCCATGTAATTCTGCATAGTGTTATTCCTGCTACCAACACTGTAACAAGTATCTGGGATTTTCCCTCTCCTTGGCCCAGGATGGTTACCATGATAGGAACTTGTGGGTGGCATTGGTTCACGTGATGTCCACTCTAGGGCATTCAGCAATTCCTTTTTGCTCAGTTCTTTGGTGGAGTGGATATTTCATATTTGTATATTCTCCTCCTTGTTGAACGAAAGCTTTACTTTGCAACTTAGCTCATGTTCAGTCATTCTTCTGACTCTCATCTGGATTTGTGCAACTTACTGACCCTTTTCCCCTTCCCTTCCCCATCTTGGTGTTAGGAGGTTTCTGTGGAGACACTCTTGGAAGCCACAGGCCTCTCTCCTGTCCTCCTGAGGCACGCACTGAAACCTCTGACAAAGGAAAATGGGGTCCTGACACAGAATCAGAGTAAGTATAGTAAGGCTCCTAGTTTGAAGAATGGGGATATTAACCCACTTGGGAAATTAACCCAGTGAACTGGATAAGGTGCTGACTTCCAGCTACTGCCAAGGACTGCTGGGTTTGTCATGCCTTGTTAAGAGTGTGGAGCTCAGGAGCAATTTCCCCAGCAGTCCTTATGGACCAGTTTGTTCTTCACATGTTTTGCACTTCAGCTTCCAGAAGCTCCACCCAGATGGCTAGTGGTAAACGCTGGTGGGCGCTGAAGTCTAAAACATCTGGAATGCCCAAAGTCGAGAACCAATATTTCAGAAGAGATGTGTTGAGTATCTCCAAAAAGCCTTAGAGGATTCTGGAAGTCTGAAGTCCTGAAGTGTTTTCATTGTAGATGTCCTAACGCTGAACCAAGGGATGTTGCTCCAGCTGCCTGGCCAACACTTGCGGCTGTTGCCCAAACCAGCATACTTGAATGGGGAACTGGATGAGGGCATCCGTGCTCTGGAGAGGAAGAGGAACACTCTTTGCGGCCTCATCCCCCAGATCCTGAAGGACAAGGAGATGCACATTGACAAGCTGGTGTTCAAGGTACAGAGTGACAGGGATGCCTCTCTGCCATTCAGGTCCACTGACGGCTCAAGGCTGTTCCATTCAGTTTCTTCCCCCCCTTTCTGTTTCTCACAGGTGATGGAGGCCTACCAGAAGCAGGAGTCTGGCTCTGCTCTCAAGCCCCTGAGCGCCGACTCCTGCAGCAGCGCTGACATCTTGGCCTGTGCCCAGCACCTCCTGCACCAGGGCTCTATCCAGCGACGGGAAAGCTGTCCACAGCTCTTGGAACACGTCCCTGCAGAGCCCCCAACCCCAGCACTGCCAAAGGATCAGCCTCCGATAGCCTTTCAGACTGTGCAGATCAAGAAAGGGCCAAGCGTGCCCTGTGTGGGAAAGAGACAGACATTTTCTACATTTAGGTAGAAATGGGGCCTGCTTTGCATCTACGACTGTCCAGGGGCCACGCTTTAGGAGGTGGGAGAGAAGGGGCCATTCTTGGCTCTTCAAGACTCTGGCTTCTCGTGGCTGCAGCTAGTCCGAGGAGCACTCGGTGGTCTAGCAGTGCAGCCGCTCTCCATTGAGGAAAGGACACTGGCATTGCAGCAAACGTTTTGGCTGCGGATCCTGTGCTCCCTACGTGGCTGCAGCTAGTCCGAAGAGCAGTTGGTGGTCTAGCAGTGCTGCCGCTCTCCACTGAGGAAAGGACACTGGCATTGCAGCAAACAGATGATACTTCATCCAACGGGTTCAGTTTCCGAACTGTAGCGTAACCAGCATTTGGGGCTGTAGCATCGGGTATCGAAGAAGACAGCAAAACTGGTTGCCTATAGCCGGACCAGCTCCAAAATATTAAGTCAACTCAGAACATCTCCTCTCCATAATATACATTTGCCTTATTTCCAAACTGCTGTGGAACATGGCAGGTTTGACACACGGACTGCCTGACAGATGGTTTGTGTCCTTCTCCCTCTGTGGGGGGAGTGTCTTGATTGATGCCTTCTGGCCTTAGGGCAGGAGCCTCCCCCAATTCATTGGTATGTTCAGCCTGCTCCAGAACAAGAATGGTCTCTCAGTTTTGGTGAAGCCAGGGCAATTTAGTCTGCCTTCTGATCTTTTTTTGTAACTCTGCTTTCATTTCCTTCAAAATGTCCTTTCAGTTTCCTTTAAGTGTGTTTCGTGGCAGTTTAAGCCTGACTCTCCCGTTGTGTAGGAAAGTCGTGACAGGTATGGTTGTTCAGCTACCTACCTACCAGCCACCCGAGTGCCATTTGGCAAGGCTCAGGTGGAAGGGAGCTGGCAAACAGTGTGGGAATCTGTCACTTTTTCTGCTTGAGGTGGACGGAGCAATTGGTGGCACGGGTGGATTTGTACTGTCCAGAGGAGGTCAGTGTGGACATGGACTGAGCAGCCAGCATCTGCTGTTTCCTCAAGCTCAGAGGCTAGGACCAAGGCACTGGAATTCTCCCTTATCTTAGCTAGTCTATTATGTACAGTTGCACATGAGTTGTGTGTTAGTGAAAAGGTGCAAAGTGCAAGTAGGTGGAATCTGTGCTTGACGGATCAGCAGTAAGTCCTCTTTAGGAAGAGATCTTTCCGGTGTGTGTGTGTGGGAATCTTATTTTACATGCTGCAGCCATTGCACAGCTCCCAGTTGTTGAGTGTGGCTCTCATGCCAGAGATTTAAAAATGAGAGGGAGCAGCTTCTCTCCTGTTAGGACTTCCGTCTACTGCTCTATCCATCATTCCATCCTCTGTTAATCTGCTCTTGCCTTTAGGGCACCCTTCTTCCACTTCTCCCCCCAACCCCAGCTCCTTCCCAAATCTAAAATCTGAAACCCATTTGGCTGGACCAAATAAACCAAGAGAGATGTGACCAGGGTCCGTTGTGTTAATTCTTTGAAACGGCTACAGAGCATATGCTACCTTTCTTATGTCAGCAACATAATTAGTGCCTGCAGTGAGAATGTACAGATGTTGCTCAGCAGCAGCTCCCAATCGCTTTAGCTTGGGTAGCCAGGGGTGACAGGCATGGCATTCTTGCAAGATCAGGTGGTCCACAAATTCTTTATCCCTCATGTATGCCAGAGAAGGAAACTCCTTCAGCTGCCTACTCAGAAGGAGATACTGAGAAATCTCAGCATCATACCCGCCTAACTTCACACTGTAGTGGCTTTACTTTTATAAGCAGGTGATGGGCAATTCCAGCACCCCCTAAACTGAAGGCAGACTAGCATTTAAAGCACAGGGCTGCTCTACCAGTTATGTAAGATCCAGTGCCCACAGATTTTATCCATCATCATCTACTTCAACCAAGCAAAAATGGAAGGAGGAGGGAGCTATTCTTTACCGAGGTAGAAGAGCTACCATAATCATTTAAGCTCTAAAATAAATTGCTTTGGAAAGCAGATTTCAGCTATTCATGGAATTCCTGGATCTACATTAGTCAATAACATTGGATCCTGGGCCTGGATTTCACTCTTATTCATTTAAAATATTTATATGGTGCTTTTCTCCTAATTTATTTTATTTATTTATTTATTTATTTATTCTATTTGTATCCCGCCTATCTGGCCGTTGTGACTACTCTAGGCGGCTGACCACTCTAGGCGGATTCAGTATACATTCTGCTTTTCCTTTGCCTAGTTTTTCTTCTTTAGAGAGGAGATTCTGTAACGTTATATCAAACTGAGTGCATGAACAAGTCAGACTGAATAGCAACTAGGAGGGATTTGGACATAGTGGATATGGGGACCATGTGCCATTTATGTCAAAAGTCTGAATCTTTCAGTCTCTACGTAAATTGCTTCTATGGCATGACTCTTTTTCTAGTTTACCCAGGAGATCTGTTTTATGCTACTGAACAGGGCTTCTATTGCTTATCTCCATCTTTGGTGCTAAAAGGTTGAGTATATTGTTTAATTTTGGAGATGAAACTAGGTAGGCAACCCAGAGTTCCCCCAGATATGACAGAACTGCTACTCCCATCAAACCTTCCCTTTTGTCTATGCTGCGATGAGTTGCTGTGGGACAGCTCCTGGAGGATGGCAGGTCCAGGTGGTTCACCTCAGATAGTCTCATCTTTGGTCAAAACGCCAACGGCTTTACCAGACAGAGTCAAAAAAGGAGAAAACATCTTTAGCCTATACTAGCTGAGCTTGTTTCCTACTGAACTGATAATTTGTAAAATAAGGACACCTACCTGTTGAGATACCTCCTAGAGAAGACAGGTAGTGGATTTTTTTAAAATTCCCCAACGGAATTCTCCATGACTGTTCTTGACTATCCCCTGGCTTTTAGAAGTTCGTTTGCCCCAGGGCAGGGGCCAAGGCTAATTGTGCAGCCTTCCTCTGCCTCCAGTCCCAGCTGAATTGAACTGCAGTCCACACGGAGAAAGACGAGCCAATGCTTCACCAACTATGAAACTTAGCTTTGGGTCTTTTTAGCGGTGAAAAGGCAACAAACACACAAGGCATAAAGAACAAGGTATGATCTCAAGCTTGATTTACAGATGATGCTGACACTCACAGTCACAATGGTACCACCATTAATTTATTAAAATTAATACAGAAAGCAACCTTACATTAAGTTTAACAAAAATAGAATCTTGTAAAAAATGGGGTTAACCCACCCTCCCTGCTGTCCTAACCATGAGCAGCTGCACCCGCTGGGCAGGCGCAATACCACAGTTTAGGTCTCTTGAGTTCGGCAGGGTGCACTTTCAAGGCAGGGGAGGTTGGTTTGGCAGTTCTAGGGCCACAGGCTCCAGGAAGGCCGAGGCCCATCCATGAAGCCAACGTGGTCTGGGCTGAAGAGAAAGGAAGAGGGCTGGTGGGGCAGGGAGAAAAACTGCGCATCCAGTCAGGGAAGGCAAGGAGACCCCAGTAGCTGCCACAGAAAGGTTCGTTTACCTCACTGCAATTTCTGGCTCTCTTGTTTTGCTTCCCTTGCTCAACGTAGGTACTTTCAGGGGGGAAAAATCAAAGTAAGGGGTGGAGTGGATTCCTTTCTGCTCATTTATTATTCTCATCCTGCATACCACTAGGTCTCAACTAGAGATGGGCACGACTTAAGCCATATCTCTTTCCACAGCTGCCACACATTTCCTCTCCCCGCCCTCTAGTTTAGCTGGCCTACTCACATGCCACGCACCACCGGGGTCCTCCTTCACTGGTGCTGGGCTAGTCTGGCCATGACCTTCCCTGCCTCCTCCAGCAGCCGACCACTGAATGGTTGAGCAGGGAGAATTCCCATCCCACCTCCTTGTTAGAATGGCCGGCTGACGGAGGAGGTGGGGAAGGTGGTGCTGCCTGTTACAATTCATACAAAGAGGGACTTAAGTTGTGCCCATTTCTAGTCTCAACATTTCCCAGCACTGTCAGAGCACAAGAAGCTCATCAGTCTAGAGCAAAGTAGTTAGAACATGGCCTGACTTGCAATTCAAGGACCATGCCGGTTTGAGGGAGAAGGAACAGGTGGATGGGTCATTTATACCCACCTATGGGTATAAATAAGGGATGGGCGTGTCATTTATACTGGTTGCAAATGGAGTGTACTAACTCATAAACTGGTGTAATCACTGGTACCTTTACCTCATGCCAGGAAAAAGACAGCAGGGATCCAACCTACCCCAGCACCTGCATGAACACAATCTCCCCTTAGCAACCACCTAGCAAGCAGGCCACATTTGCGTGCATCTGTTGGGAAGAGGCCTCCCTATTCCTCAAGATCCCTTTTTCAAACAGATCGGTTAGCAGGGAAGGCCCTTGCCTCCTCCCACCTTGGCTGCTTAGTAAGGGCTTTTTCTTCCTGTTGGAAGGGCACTTGGCTCGAGCTTCTCTGCCTTTCCCTCAAGAAACCCGCCGACCGTGCAAAGGCCCAGCCCTTCTTTGCTTTCGCCCTTGCAAGAGCTGCCTAGCCTGCAGGTGCCAAACCAGACACGCAAGTGCTGCCTTCCCTCTCTCATAACCACTGCCGGCGAAGGGGAAGAGGCAACGACTCCAGTATCTTTTCTCAGGAACATTGTAAAGCAGGGGGTGAACTGCCCAAAGCAACCTGCGAGCTCTAATTCTCAGCGTTCTGTACTCTGGCCTGAATCTATTAGCAAAGGGCAGGAGACGCTGCGCAGTGCCAGCCTCGCTGGGAGGATCTGGATAAGAGAGACAGGGGAGGGGCGGGGGAAAAGCTGCTTCACGTTAAAAGACAAGATCCCAGTTGACCTCAGGTTGGTTCTGAGAGACGCAGGACTGTGGAGTGGCACTTGTGGGCAGAGGTCCAGCTTGCCCAGAGCACTACTGGGTGAGCTTGACTAAGCATCCCTAGGAGAAAGGCGTCAACACACCTCTTCCGTTTTCCTGCTGGAGGATGTACAAGACAGCCAAGGGAACCGAACCGGCCTTCCTCTTTCTTGCCCAAGCCAGCCAGGCAAGGCAAGGCAAGGCATGGAAGGGAACCAAGGACTGGCTGCCCTGAGACACATGCCAGTCAGAGAGAGCTACGCAAATCCCCTCAGCTTCTTTCATTCCCGACCCCACCTGAATGGAGAAGACTGGCCTGCTGTTCTATTCTCGAGAGTTCAGGTTAAGAAGCCGTGTCTGTGTGTGTGCATCTTCCTTCCATTTCCTAGGATCCACGTTCACGTTAAAACTAAAAAATTCATGGGTGAGACGTAAAGCAAACCAGGATGCTCCCTGCACAGAACAAACGGAGCAAGCAGGGTCACGACCGGACTTGAGCTCCTGCACCAGGCAGTCAATCAGTCTTCTAAAGTGAAGGAGCTGGATAGTCCCTCTCTGTGCCATCTGGCAGAGACCCTGGGTCCTTCCAGGCTGCTGCCTGGTTTGGATCACACGCTTTTTGTGTAGCCAAAGATGCCGATCGGGAAATGCTTGACGTGTGTCGGCCACTGTGCAGCCAGCTGGAAAAATTTCACATCGTTCCACTCCACACCATCGATACAAACTGCAAGAAACATGACACATAAACTCAGGCTGGGAGCAGCAAAGGCAGGAGCAACAGTTCTGAGTGCCCAACTGGGGACAGAGAGTGCCTTATCATGGAAGCGAAACTCCCTTTTGGTCCTGGTGCTAGAGAGAGGATTCAAAGTAACGCCAGGCTATTTTGTAGAGCATGGAAGGGGGAATCTAGGCCCTCCAGGTATTGCTGGGCAGCACCTTCCATCATTTTTTGCCATGGGTGTCATTTTGACTTATACACCATCCCATGGTGCTAAACTACTTTCTGAGAGGTTTACAGCATAATGATGCAAACAACACTGGGCTGGGTACTCATTTTACTGACCTTGGAAGGATTGAAGGCTGGGTTCATAGAATCATTGAATCACAGAGTTGGAAGAGACCACAGGGGCCACGGAGTCCAACCCGAACTTCATCAAAGCACTCCCGACAAATGGCCATCCAGCCTCTGGTTATAAACCACCAAAGAAGGAGAATCTACCACACTCTGAGGCACAGCCTATTCCGCTGCCAACCAGCTCTGAGTGTCAGAAAGTTCTTCCTGAAATTCAGGTGGAATCTCTTTTCCTGTAGTTTGGAACCATTGCTCGTTGTCCTAGTGTCTGGAGCCATGGAAAACAAACCTGTCTCTTCCTCGACATGACATCCCTTCAAATATTTAAACATGGCTATCATGTCCCTCTTAACCTTCTTTTTGTAAGGCTAAACATTCCCAGTTCCCTAAGCCGCTCCTCATAGGACATGGCTTCCAGACCTTTGATCGTTTTGGTTGCCGTTCTCTGGACATTTTCCAGGTTGTCAACATCCTTCCTGAATTGAGGTGCCCAGAACTGGACACAATACTCCAGGTGAGGTCTGACCAAAGCAGAATAGAGTGGTACTATCACTTCCCTTGATCTAGACACTATACTCCTATTGATGCAACCAAGAATCGCATTGGCTTTCTTGGCAGCCAGATCACATTACTGATGCATGTTCAGTTTGTGGTCTACCAAGACTCCTAGATCCCTTCCACAGGTACTCTTGTCTAGCCAGGTGTCTTCCATCCCATATCTGTGCAGTTCATTTTTTTCTGCCTAGCTGTAGGACCTTACATTTCTCCCTGTTGAAATTCATTTTGTTAGTTTTGGCCCAGGACACTAATCTGTCAAGGTCATTTTGAATTTTAATCCTGTCCTCTGGGGAATTAGCAACCCCTCCCAATTTGGTGTCATCTGGAAATTTAATTAGCATACTCTCTATTCCTTCATCAAAGTCATTAATAAAGATGTTGAATAGCACAGGGCCCAAAACAGTTACCTCTCTCCAGGATGAAGAGAAGCCACTGATAAGCCCCCCTCTTTGGGTTCAGTCAGTCAACCAATTACAAATCCACCGAACAGTAGCACTGAGTTAACCTTGAGAGGGGTACCTGAATCCACCGGGATAGGATTCAGACCATGAGCAGAGGTGTGACTGCAATACTGCAGTTTAATCAGTGTGCCATGGAGCCCACTGGTGGTGAGTGATGGTTGGGGCAGATGGAAGTTACTTACAGCATCAGGAGGGCCACAGGTTCCCTACCAGCATTGCAGAACGATGCTAAGCATGTTTAGGGGCTCCGGAGCCCACTTTTCAGGGCCAAAGACCCTCTAAGGGCTGCACCAGCTGTTAGATATGGAACCAGAAGGAACTGGAAGGCCACTTCTATTTTGGGGCATGGGTGGGTAAATAAGGCTTTTTGGAACTTGCTTTGCTCTTACAGGACAATCATTTTCAGAAACTGTAATTAACATCCCCCTCAAAATGGGGATTGGTCCCAAAACAGCTGATGACATTGTAAAACACTGACCATGCATGACTGCAATAGCTTTGTTTTTTCCAAGCTCCATGTTTTGGCATGCTGACTCAAACTGCAATGGGACCGGGTTCAAAGAAGGGAGTGTGGCGGCCTGCTTACCGCGCAGCATGGTGTTCTGGTGCTTTGCTGTGCAGATCAGGCGTGTGATTCCCTCAATCACTTGGCTCTTGGGCTCCAAGTCCTTCTCTTTTGGCTTCTTACTCAAGAACATCACTAGAAAGGACAAGAGGAACAGACTAAACAAAGGCACCCTCCGGGAAATGTCATTTTTAAGCTGAGCTGGGGCTGGGACCGCGTTCCACAGGGCATGCAATAAATAGGTTGGGAATCTGACCTTCAGTGGAGCTGCTAAAAGTCTGCAGAAAAAGGGGACTACCTTTCTTGTTCTTCTCCTTGGTGACAACCGTCATGGCCATGGTGCTGGCCGGGATCAGCTCGCCAGGGCCGGGAATACGGCTGACCTGCAGGGAGCGGAAATTGCTTTTCAGGGTATTCTTGATGCCAGTTTCCCGTTTCTCAGCTTCTTTCCTCTTCTCTGGACCCTGAGCTGTCCAGTAATCCACCTGTAGACCCATCACCTCCACACCAGGACTCAAATTGCTGGGAAGGATAGAAAATCAGGTTACAATAAAAGGAAGCATCCCAGTCAAGCCATACCATTGGCACAATCCCAGCTCATATTGGGCTCTAGAAATCCAACGCATAAGGCAGGGGTTGGGAATCCCAAAACCTGTTGTTTTTTTTTTTTTGCTTGAAGTCCCTCTCCCTCCACAAAAGTTTTTTAAAAAGCGAATTCCCACTCTCTAATCACAAAATACACACTCGTAGTATATATGCTTTTAAAAAGAAATATATACAGAGAGTTTTTAATCTGGGGAGAACCTTCAGGAATTTGAAACGCCCCCTCTAGCGGTCCGAAGGGCGCCAGTACAGCAGGACCACATGATTCTGCCGATCACGTGGTTTGGCTCTCAGACTGGCTCACTTGCTTCGTCTTTGTGAGTACCTGCTTGAAGCCCTGGAGTGACTACCACACTATTCCAAAGCCTCTCATTCCCACAAGGCTCCAGGTGTCTGAAGGATTCTTTTTCCCATTGCTACACGAGCCCCCCCTTCCTCTAGTTGGGCCCAGTGTACGCAAACATGCTGCCTTGGGCAAAAGAAAAGAAAAAAGGCCATTCCATGCCCAGAGGTTGGCTGACTCACCGCTGAAGCTTACGCAGTGGGAAAGCCTCCACCAAGCCTCCTCCGGACAGGAAGACTGTTCTGCCAAAGGGCAGGGCCGGCCCTAACCGATTCAGCCAAAAAGTGCTTACCCGGCTCCAGACAGCCCACTGCTGACGGATGGAGAAGGCGGAGGGGTACCCACTGCCTCCTTGGTGTAAGGAACCCCTCCACCAGATGGGGATGATGAGCTCAGTAGTGAGGTGGTGCAGATGGTAGCATCGTCAGAATCAACTAAGGAAAGCAGGAGATAATGAAGAGGAAGGGAACAAAGAAGGAGGAATCTGGTTATAATGGAGAAGCCCTTGAAAGCTTGGCTGCCAGTTTGCCCGCAGCATCATGAGTGGGCCATCTCTGGCTTTCTGGCTTTCACACTGACCACCAACGCTGGAAACGTGAGAGACCCAAGTAGGGCAGTTAACGCTCAGTCTCCTATTTGCACCTGGGCTGACAAAAGGAGCCATGTTAGGCATACACAGCCACCAGACTGTAACCGCTCCGGGTCACTCCAGCAACACCAAGAACACAATCCCGTGTTTTCGAACTGGCACATTTATTGATTTCTTTCACCTTAGGAAAATACAAGCACTGGTTCCCCCAGTTTCAATATCAGAAATTCTGAAGAGCTTCTGGGCTCTTGTGGAATGTCACTCTCCATTTACGTGGGTGCTTCCCAGTGTCGACACAGCTCTTGTGAAGCTGAGGGCCACGTTTGGCAAGTTTGAAGGACTTGCCAAAAGGTACCCTTGGGAATTCACTGTCACTAGGATGTAAAGGTGGTCCAGTCCACGGCCGGGCAAAATGCTGGGACCCCAGGCCCCAATTCAAGGACTATTTTAGGCCCAAAAAATTCCCTTGTGTCCTCTACTGGGCGGGTGCAACTTTGCTATTATTTTAGGGCCCCACAGCACTCAGGGGACCTCCATTTTTGTTTCTTATTAAAAATATCCAGGGGGGCTTCTATCAGTGATAAAATATCAATTTTTATTAGAAAAAATTGGAGGTGGTGATCATAGAAGCAGCCCCCCACAGTCCGGCAGCAGGCACGTGTGGGCCCTCACCTGACATAGTCTAGTCAGCGAGGGTTACACATGGTCCCTCCTGCTGTTGGGAGTCGTGTTCCCAAGATCCCCCTCCAAAGGTGGAATTTGGCTTTGAGCTGAAGAAGACTCGACACTCCCCTCCCCCCGGTGCCCCACCTTGGGCTAGCCTGACAAAACTCCTCTTTTTCCTGCCCCAAATCCTACTGGCTGACTCGATCTGGATCCGAACACAGATCTTATTCGAGTCCATGGCATAAGGGCAGGAGTCCCAACCCTGTCGCTCCGGGTGTCTGCTTCTCACCTGACGTGTTGAAGGACTGCTCCACAAGTCCCACCTTCACCACCTGCCAAAACATGGGGGAAAGGAGAAGGCACTCAGCATAGAAGCTGCCGACGGCCCTTTCCCAACCCCAAGCCCACCTCCCAAGGCAGCCAGAACCAGGCTCCACCTCAAACAGCCCTTTCAGCTCTTAGGTTGGTCCTTTGGCAATCTTAGGAGGCAAACGCTCTCCGTCTCCCACCGCAGGGTCCCACGGGGGAAGATAATGGTGCTGAAAGATGATGCCAGGATTTTGCCCGCCATTACTGGCCATTCCATGGCAAGGAATACTCACCCCAACAAACGGTACAAATTTCTGGCAGGAATCCTCATCTGGACTGCAAAGGGGAAGAAAGATGTTGTTAGAAGCTGCCTTGGGTCCTTGGGTCCCCGCCGAACCCCGTCTCTCTAAAGGCAACTGTGAGGTGGACCTCTCCTCCTCGTCCTCCTCCTCCTCTGCTGGCCAGAGAAGCAACAGGCTTGTGAAGGGCAGCGAAGAGGAGCTGGGCCCCCACCCTGGGGTGCCCCTGGACCCATGCAAAAGAGATACAGTACAAGGGTGCTCATTACACTCTCCTATCCTGTGGGGTCCCGGCCTTGTTCTGAGGCAGCCCCAGCCAAAGCGTGGTGATAGACAACAAGCAGCTATCACAGAGCCAAGCAACGGCGTGTCGTCCCTTGGGATCAGGATGGCGGGGAGGAAGCAGGACGGGGTCCCTCCGCCTCACAGAGAACAGCAACCGACCCCGACCCAAAGGCGCTCAGCACAGGATTCGACACGGAACGGGGAAGAGGAGGAGACAGGGCAAAGGGGGCAGATGCAGAAGACGCGGAAAGGGGAAAGGAGGCTTCCTTCCCCATTCACACATGCAACTGGGATCAGCCAGCGAGCCCTGGCCGCACAACGAGGCAGACGGGGAGGCGCCGGTTCTGTCCCTGGCACAAAGAGAGGCGACGGGGGACAGACACAGAGGAGAGAGAGGTGACACCGCAGCAAGCCACAGTCCAATACCTGATGTAAAAATCAAAATAGAGGCTTCTTTTCCTTGAATGCCAAAAAACAAAAAAAAGGGGGGGAATAAACCAAGAAGAGGGAGAGGCGTAAGCACTGCTGGAACACAAGCTGTTAAAAGACAATGGCTTTTAGGATGGCCAGACTGGCTGACAACGCACGGGGCCCACCTCACCCACTTGTGGCCACTGGGCAACTCTGGCCACCCTAAGACTCAACCGGGTGGGAGACAAAGAGCGAAGGAACGAGAGCTCACAGGGCTGGGAAAGAGGTTGATTCTCCCCACCCCCAGGTCCTCTCCCTCTTTTCATTTGGACGAATATAAAAAGCAAATGGGAAAAGTCAGTGTGGCCCAGAAGAGCCATGGTGGGGGTGCCAGCAGTTGGCAGAAAATTCTGGAACAGAAAGAGACAGCAGGAGATGGGCACAGAAAGAGAGAGAGGGAGAGAGAGAGAACTCTGAACTAGTTATACACGAAAGAGGAGGCAAAACCTCTCAGGGCTGTAGTGTGTAATAACACCATACCATACAAAATAATTATGGCCTATCTCCAATTGCTCTTCTCAGCTAGAGTAGACCCACCTAATACATAAATGGCATTTCTGTATATGCCGACTTACTGTTCAGCAACTGACTCAGTGGGTCTACTCTAGTTAGACTACCAACTGGATTTAGGCCTCCAAATGGATAAGAAACGAAGTAAAAAAATGAAACTGAGACAGAAATAAAATACTGTACATTGCATTAAAATATCATACAGCTTTAATAGAACGACTCCGTCTCATCCAGACGCCTAAACCAAATTTAATGGAGCAATTAAGTAGGTTGTTTTTTCAGTGCTAAGGAGAAGGCTTGCTGCTTTTCCGTCCTGGGCAGAAGGGCCCCTGCTGAGGCAAGGGCCAGTGGAGGTGGGCAACCATGCCAGTCCCCTTCTGGTTTCACATTGCATTACGCCAGATGCCTGGCAGGCGCCCCACTCTTCATGCATGTGGCAACAAGGCACAAACCCTCCTCTACTTGGTGCTGAGAATCAATACACGGATACTAGAGCCAGCAAAGTGACTTTTAGCCTTTTTAACATTCAAGTATCATTTTTCATGTCAACAGAGCATCAAAAGAGCCCATGAACATGTGCTGAATCCTGCAGCATGTTTAAACATTGGGCTGAGGGATCTGCAGCTTAAAAAGTAACTTTTCCAAGATCTAGCAAGAATGCTCACTGTAACGTATACTCAGCTTCACTTGGGCATTAGCTGAACCACCTCCTTGCCACGTATTAAATAAATGTGCACCCATAAACCACACAATCATGCTTCTCCATGACTGTGCGCTGCAAGTGCAGATCCTGTAATGATGTGCATGTTTCTGTCAAACTATATGTGTCTGAGGACTGCTGAGATCTTCTCCTATGACAAAATCCAAAACTCACTGAGCCACAGGGCAAGTTGTATGAAGAAGCTGTCGGATGACATTTGGAAGCTGTACAAAGAAATCTGAAAGCCCCTGAGCTCAATGATACATCAAGGCCAAGAAACAATTGTGACCATCTGGAGCAGTAACAGAGGGAGTCTAGCCTGATAGTCAGGAAGTGGGAAATTTGGAGAGAATGGAGTCAAAATACCCCAGATAATTGGATAATTTCTTTGTTGGTAATATGCATAACACTTGTGTTCAGCACATGGTTACACGATTACAGATTTTAGCGGCGATATATTTTAACAAAGAGAATGGCAATATTGTAAGTGCACCTAGGGCAACATCCTGCAGACTTGCTTTTATTGTGTTGGGTCGCAGACAATTGGCTGCATGTGTTTCTTCCAGGACACAAAATAGATTCATCAGTGACCTGAGCAGCAAGGGGTCCCCCTACTTGAAATTACAAAAGCCACAAGTCACAGCACAACGAGCGGCCCTCTAAGGCAGCTGTGCCCAGACAAAGGGTCCTCAAGAGGGCATGTAAGAACATCAGAAGAGCCCTGCTGGATGCGGCCAGGGACCCATCTAGTCCAGCTTCCTGTCTCTCACAGTAGCCCCACCAGATGCCTCTGGGAGCACACGAGACGACAAGATCCCTGTCTCCCGATCGCCCTCCCCTGCATCTGGCATTTGGGGGTACCTTCCTCTGAAGCCTCAAGATTATACATGGCTTGTAACCTGCGGTGGAATTTCCTCCAGAAATCTCTCCAATCCCCTTTTAAAGGCATCTAGGCCAGATGCCATCACCACATCCTGCAGCAAGGAGTTCCACAGACTAAGAACATACTTAGGGTAAGGATACATCTTCTTTTGTCTGTTCTCACTCTCCCAACACTCAATTGGAGTGGATGTCCCCTGGTTCTGGTACTGTGTGAGAGGGAAAAGAGCTTCCCTCTCTCCACTTTACCCACCCCCTGCATCATCTTATATATCCCAATCATGTCCCCCCACCCCCTCAGGTGTACAACCTTCTTACAATCTGGAATGTGACTCTCAGGACATCTGCTGAAAACGGATGCTTCCGAAGTATTGCCTGGAGGGTTTGTGTCATTGTGCCAGCGTCTCACGGACCAGAGGTTCATACATCAGCCAAGGACATGCTTGCTCAGAGTCCTGAGCTCCCCACCAGGATCTCTGCTCAGCCTACAACTTCAAGATTGCAAAGCAATCCCCCACCTCCACCCTTGGTTTTCTGCCATAGGTGATCCTCTTCTCGCTCCATGCAGCCATGGGCTATGCGGTAAGACCTACTACGCCTGTTGTGTTGCAGTCAGCTGCATGCACAGGGCTCTTTGCAGGCATCAGGCATCTGCCACAACACCATCGCAGAAGTCCGTAAATGCCAAAAGCCAAGTCCTGGCCACCCATTTCCCACATTAAGTCCCTCTGTGATCCACAGCTCTGCTTCTCTCCTCATCATCTCCATCTCATGTTGGGGTAGCTTTTGTTTCTCGAACTTGCTGTTCTAGAAACAGGTGTTCTTCTATTCAAAATGGTGAGCTCTGGATGCTACTTGGGGGGGGGGACTATAACTCCCATGATCCCCCAGCCACTGTCATTTCAATCCCCAAAGGGAATTTTGTCAGGCCCTAGGAACAACCCTGTCCCAATTTGCTGTCTTTCCAAACCATGCTCCAGGCTTTAAAATAAATTGTGAGCAAACATTCCTGCTCTAAGGGTAGGATAGTGGCCACTGTCCTCACTCGAAGGGTGCCCAGAAAGGGCCACCGTGCATGCTCTCAGCAGCGCCCGGCCCAGGAGGTGCCCCAGCCAAAAGCACAAGGCCCTGCCCCCCCGCCCCACAAGCACCCGCCACCGAGGGCAGCAAGCCAGCGGTACGTACTGTGTGACCATCCCCGCTGGCTGGAGGGGCAAGCAGAGAATGGCAGGGCCTGAGATACCCCACACAGTTGAACTGTCAGGGGAGGAAAGCACAGAGACAGCACTTGCAATTCCCCAAACCACCATCCGGGACTGCCTTGCTTGCCCTCTGGCATTTGCGGCACGGCTGGTCTTTCCTGGGCCCTGCCATCACCCCTCTGTCCTACCCTCGCCCTGCTGTCCTGGGCTTCGGGGCAGAACGTCGGGCAGACGAGAGCCGCTCGACAGCCATTGAAAAGTTGACCATGGGGCCCCTGCAAGTAGCAACATGGAAAGATGGCCATCTGTACTTTTGAGCCCCAACACCCAGCCCTGCATGATCACCTTTGAAAGCATGGATATGTGGTCATGAACCCTATGTGGGAGGAAGAACTCCTTACCTTTTCTGCTTGTAGGTTAACATAGCCTCAGAAATGGGCAGCTGGTGGGAGACATTGGCGCCTGTGATGTACTGGGCAATCCGACCAGGAATGTCCACCGTATCTGGAAGGAGATGAGTGAAAGCGTTGGACCAGTAGTTCTTAAAAGTTTGTCTTTCAGATGTTTTAGACTTCAGCTCCCAGAAGCCTGGGGCAGAACACTGAAAGGTTGGGAACACCGAGGCCCAAAGGGGCCTTCTGATGGCTCTTCTCCTCCCCCGGTACCCTCACGTCCATGCTGCTGCAGCCAAGTCCCCTGATGCCGATTACCTGAATTGGGAGGCTCAAGTCTACTAAAGAGCTCTCTCCATGCTGCATCCAGGAACAAGGTGCTGTACCTGTTGTCCACCGAACCAAGGTACTTGGCCAGTGGGTGGGAGCCTGCAGATGACACAGGGTTAAATGGAAACACTGAAAGAACATTAAGAAAACATAGAAAACACAGGCTGATCAAACTTTCCCATTCTCTCCTTCTGAAGCAATGCCAAAAGAGTAAGCAACTGAGGGAAGAGGGAAAGGGGAGGGATAAAGAGGAGGGATATCCAAAATCCTAGTTCAACTGGCTCTTCTCTAGCCCACATTTTCTTTTTGTCAACTGGGAGGGCGGGGAAGGTAGTCCCATAACCCGGAAGACATGGATAGGAAAGGATCCCCAGCTAAGAAGACAAGCTGGTCTTCCGACACTGAACTGGTCGTAGCAAGGCTCTTACCCAAGGGCACCACGAGGAAACGGAGGTAGTTGAGCCAATCGGGCGTCTTGCTGGCCAGCTGTTCGACAAAGAAGCGAAGGACGATGCTCAGGTAGCTCTGGTCCCCCGCCACCGCCACTTTCACTGGGGGAGGCATGTGGGAATTACAGTTACAGCTGCCAGGGAAAGAAATGAGGCAGAGAGGCATCTGTAAGGGCTGCCGCTTCAGGACAATAAAACCAAAGAATAGCCCTGCCGCGACCCCCTTCTTGCAGCCTAGATCAGCTCTCGGAAAAGTTGATTTTTAGGACCCTATTCCCCTGCTGAGTTAGGGTGGATTCTGAGAACTACGGTCCAAAAAAGTAACTTCGCTCCCAGTATTTGGCCTGGAGATTACCAGCCAATAGACCAAGCCAGACCTCCCCAAGGAGATGCCATCCTGCTTGGACTTTATCTCCCATCAGCTAATAACAATGCTAGCTGGGAATAATGGGCATTGTAGTCCAACACATGCAGAGATATCACACTGGGAAATACTGGACTACACCAACTGAGCGCTCTCACTCTGGTGACAGAAAGCAAGGGTGTTCCCCCAAACCCACCCACCCTGCCAGAGGGTTAATCCGGGCAAATCACTGCATGACACTTGCCGGTTGGCTCTCTTGTTGCCTTACAGGCTATACTCACTATCTCTGGATGCGCGCCACAATTGTGTTGAAGGCAGCCTGGACATCCGCCATGGAGCAGGTGGAGACGATGGGCTGCTTGTATTCTTGGAGGTGATCGCACAGATACTGCCGATATAAAACCAAAAACATGGAGCAGGGTGCACAATAGAAATGGAAACCTCTTACAAATGCACTTGACACGTACCATATCCGTGAGATGCAGCAACTGCCACCAATGTGGACAGTTTTAAGAGGGGACTGTAGAAGGAACTGGAGGGTCCAAGGATCTACTGTATGCTTTGTATACCTCCTGGCGTAACCGCTGTATGTATGTTCAGTTGAACAGGCCTACAGCACCTTTGCAAAACTTGGCATTGAACAAGCAAAGGTCTGCATGACCTCTCAGTGGTGTGGGGGAGATAAGACAGGGTTGGGCTCACCTATATTTCCATCTCACAACCCAACTATCATCACAATGTCTACATTTTCAGGCTTAACCCCCTGAAACAGGAGTTCTGACGTGAAAACAGTAGCAGTCTCATAAACAAAATGTTGACATATTAAAAGCCGGAGTTCCAAAACCAAAGGCCAGTAGGTGGTCATAAGTTATCTCATTAGGGAAAGAATTCGTAACAAAGTCCACTACGAATCTAACAGATGTCAAGGGTGGGCTTTTGTGGCTGCTCTCAAGGTTTGGGCAGATTCACACACGCAGAGGTAGCAGAGCTTGGAAAAGAGACTCTCAGACAAAAACTCCCAAGATCCTCCAGCCACCAGACTGACGAAAAATGAATATTCTCCAAGAGATGGCAAGCAGTCTTTCAAATCACCTGGTCTTGAACAGTTCATAGGCTTAAAAGTTCAACTGCCAGGAGATTTGGTTTCCAACCCTTCTGCTTGCTGTTTTGCTTTGTTTGAATTGTTGAACTGTTTTAAAGTGTTTAAAATAGTTTTTTAAAAGGTTTTGAATTTCTTTAGACTCCGTTTCCATTTATGGTATCCTACCTGAGATCTGTTGACATAAGATCTACCTATGTAGCTATCCACTGAATTTGGCCAATGGAGGAGCATTTGGTTTGAGTTTTTCAAGAATTTAGTGAAATTCACAACAGGATTTTTTTTTCTCTTCATATTTTAGGATGGGAAGAATGGGAAACTCCAAAAACCAGAATGCCCAGAGAAAACAAAAATGATGGACACTTGCCATCCCCTATTAACATAAATTGGAGACTAAAAAATGAACAGGTAACAAATGCTGTTGGGCGACGGGTAGTGACCGGACCCTGTACCCCTGCTCCAGGGAGCTTAGCAGGTAAATTAGGGGTCTGCCAAGCTCATCCTTCCTAGGGTCTGAAACTCCCCTGAGCTGTGTTCAAGCTAACAGGCTGCACAGGCCCTCAGATCACTTCAGATCTGCCTCCACACACACACGGTTCTGCCTAAGGGAAGATTAGCACCTGGGACACAGACAAAAGAAAGCTGACATATTGAGAAGAGCTGAAAGCTGTGTGAAAAACAGAACTGCTTTTTAACATTGACAAAAAGTGAAACGAAACCATAAAAGTAGACCACACCAAACAGTATAAGTCAGGAGGAAACATTCAAAAAAACAAGAAATCTTTTCTCCAGAGCGCTCTGTAAATATGGAGCCAATGCCAAAGAGAGTTGGAGGAAGAGTTCCCTCACCACTAGGTGTTACAATGCATTTTTATATGTCTTTTTAATATGTCCAGCTACAGGTCTTTATCTAAACTCTATTTTAGCAGGAAAATCACAAACTTAAATACAGAAAATAATAAAACACAGAACACAACTCACTCTTATGCTGAATGGGATAATGTGGTGACCTTTTTTGCCTTGGCTCGGCTCTCTCAGTTGAGCCCCGGGCTGGACAGAGAAGTTTCGCTCGCTCTCTTGAGGTGCAGCTGCCCAGAGTCATCCACTGCCCCACTCTCAACGGCGAGACATGGAGAAGCCCTCCTCCCACCAAGCCAATCTATACGGATAGAGGAGCTCGCTCATACACCCGGGGCTTTGAGAATCATCGTCAACACCTTGGACTCAGTACTGGCAGCCCCTGCCATTCTTGTAAAGATGGCACATGGGTCACAAAAGGCTTTTCCGTCAGCAACCTTGCTGCTGGGTGTGGTACTAACTGCAATTTCCACACTGGCATCAAGAACATCCCATGTAGAATAACTGAAGTAATCCACATGGGAAGCTACCAGAGCATGAATGGCTACAGCCCAATCACTTCTGTCCAGGAATGATTGCATCTGGTGGTCCAACCAAAGTTGGCCCTAAGCATCTGGAGCCACCAAGTCCATCTGAATCTGCAAGGACAGAGATGTATCCGTCTGCATTACCCAAGCTATGTGTTTGCTCCTTCAGGGGCATGCAGTCCTAATCAAATCAAGCTGGCTACTCAATTGCCAAAGAGAACGACTAAATCACAGAGGTTCCATCTTGTCAGGCTTGAGTTTACTGGCCCTCATCCAGCCCAATAAAAGGTCAAGCACTTGCACAGCTTCACTTAATGCTGATGACATGGAGGAGCGACTGCATGTCATCAGCATTAGGATCACTTCATAAAGAAAATGCTGGATTGGATAGGCCTTTGGCTGGATCCGGCACGGCTCTTCCCCTGCACAGGTACCCTGCAAACACACCCTACCTTGCATTTCGTAGATTTATCTGAGGAGAGGTGAAAGCAGGGTGGGCTTCCTTAGATGAGACACATGCCACAGACAACACCCACCTAGTTCTAAAGTCTCTTACCTGACCTTGCCACTCGGTGATGTTAACCAGGATGATGCACTCTGGCAGCTGTTCGTCGGAGACCAGGATTTGGTTGAGCTGGTCGTACACAGACTTCCGAGGCACCTGGAACAGCAGCAGAAGCAGCAAAGTTTTTCTTTTTCTTTTTAAAATTGTTATTCATCCTACATTACACAGACTACTGAGGACCCTGAAGGCAAGACAGACTTTGTGGTCTGCAAATGGTTGTGTCCTTTTGGGACCTGCACTGTGACACCACCCCCTTTCAAGAGATGCACTCAGTCTGGAGGAGAACGCCTCTTTCCCTACAAGCCACCCCTCAACAATCTAACCTGGGTGTTTTGCCGTGAGTCTGGGGAGCTTTCACTGTCCAAGCTGCCAGTTCGGTCACCATGGCCTTTAGAGTTCTGCCTGTCCTTGACAGACATACTGCGGGGTCGCCACAGCTGCTTGTTTTCAGCTTTGCTGGAAGGTAATGAAGGAACATCAACAAGAGACAGGATCTGGGGGCTT